TCTTGGGTTCTGAAAACTTTTAATAGTGGACGCCATTTAATTTTGATCTTATGGAAACTAAAAAAAAACAAAAACTAAATCAAAACAACTAGATCTTTCTACATATTCTTTAATGCCCCAGGCGAACAAACTACAAGTTCCAATACTTGATATTGAGAGTGAATGATTTTTTAAAATAATAACAACAGATGCCTACTCCTAACTAAAGTTAGTATCTGCTGATTTACAATTTTTTAACCTTCGAACGGTTTTATAAAAAATGTTTTTATGTTAAATTTTTAAATACATTCACAATCCACAGTTACTAGTGGCTTGAATGATTATCAGAAAATATGTAGATATGTTTTTAAATCGTTATACCTCCTCCTACAGCTGTATTCGGTTCACACTATGTAATAACGAAGAATACTTATCAATTTTTAAGAAACATTTTTGTGTGAATAAAAAAACTAAATAAAATTTAGTTACATAAAAAAATAGGCATTGCCTATCACTTCAAACTAAAAGTCAATCTCCAATATGGCACCAAAAAAATTAACATCAAATAAATTGGGTGGAACTCATCAAAAAAAAATTATCTTGTGCTAGCACAAAAACACAACTACTCCGCTCTAGGATGGGTAGACCTCTTTTTTTATAACTTTTTTATCAAAGTGATCTTTATCAATAATTATTATTATTTTTAATATTTTAAATAGGTCGCCTGATATCTAAAATAAAAATGAAAAGTTTTACCTCGATTTAATAATAAATTTAAAGGGAATATTTACCTATAAAGAGATGACCTTTTTTGAAAAATAATAAATTTTTAACGCCATGCGCTAGTGACGACTTCAGACTTCAGCTCGCCAAAACCAAAGATAAAATGGTATACCTTGACTTGATCGCTTCCGCCCGTGCTCCAGAGAACACAAAAGTCATAAAACCGAAAAGACGAGAAAACGGAAGTACGAGTCGGCCATACCAGTCACTTCGGAGTGGTACTGGGGTAGCCAGCACCTCGAAAGAACGGACTTAAGAATTACTTGAAAAACGTATCTGTTGTCAAGTTGAATGATAGTGACAGTTACTTGGAAACAGGTTAGAAATATGTCAATAAACAATATTATTAAATTTATTAGAACTTATAAAAGGTAAAATAGATGACTAAAGGAAATAAATAATCAGAGATTAACGAGATTAGTGTACACTTTAAAAGTAGGTAACACGATTAAACCATGGTATTTATAATTAAAATACAATTAATTTATAAAAATGACTAAACGAATGGTATTTGTAAATGAAATACTACTTAATTTATTTGTTATAGGACTAAACCAATGGTATTTATAACTGAAATACTATTTAATTAATTTGTGTTAAAAAAGACATACTTTTATTCTCAAAATTTAGTAAAAATCTTAAACGATAATCCATATAAATTCGCTATGTCTCCCGTTCATTAAATTATGATTATTTTCAGTGCATATGAACGTTACAAAGGTACAAAGACTTGCCTGCCTCGGAATAACGGGGGCAATGAAAACAACCCCCACTGCTGCAATGGAAGCACTAATAGGACTCCCACCTCTTCACTATGTGATACAAGGGGAGGCAAAATTAGGTGCTTACAGATTAGGGAATATTGACATTAGGCCAGGTCACATGAGTATCTCAAGGTTAGTGACAGGAGACGTGCTAGACATAAGATCAGACTACATAACCAAGAGATTTTCTTTTAATACTCCATTTGAGGTTTTAATACAGGAAAGAGCGAAGATCACCATAAGCGAGCCCATTGCCCAACGACAGGAAGCAATCTGGTATACAGACGGGTCTGAGACTGCCAAAGGCACTGGGGCTGGAGTATTCTCCAAAAACCCTGATACTAACCATAGCTATGCTATAGTATACATCACTCGGTATTTCAGGTCGAGGTAAACGCAATTTTGCAATGTGAAAAAACAAACAATGAAAGAGCTGTCGAAAATCAGCATATTCAAATAATGTCAGACAGCGAAGCGGCACTTAAGGCCATATCGAATCAGAAAGTTACGTCGAGGCTGGTATGGAAATGCATCGAAGAACTAAGAACGCTGGCAGACCAAAATAGAGTAAAACTATTTTGGGTGCCAGGTCACCAAGGGATCGAAGGCAATGAAAAGGCTGACGAACTTGCAAAAAGAGGGTCAGAAGAAACACCGGAACCAGACACACACCCAGGAATAGCATAAAGCACAGTCCAAGGTTTCATAAACGACTGGATTCGGGAACAACTATTGGGGAAGCACCTCAAAACAAACACATGGAAAAGCTTTCATAGGCAGACCATGTCCAAAAAGAACTGGAGAACTACTCTTTATGAATAGGAACCAGTTGAAAGTATTAACAGGGTTCATGACTGGGCACGCCCCAGTAAAGGAAAACTTGAACGAATTTGGCATTTACAATGGGGAACTCATGTGCCGACTATGTCACAAGAAACCAGAAAGAGCCAAACACATACTTTGCGAATGCGAAGCTCTAGATCGCAAAAGACAGGCTCTTTTTGGACAACCCCAGGTTGATCCAACAACGTATAGAACCCACTTACCCAAGGATCTATACAAACTTGTATAAGGTACAAAGGTGACAGAGTGGGTGCTATCAACTAACATGGGGTAAAACACAATATACCAATAGGCTTTAGTGTTATTCAAAGACATAGTCAGACGAGCCCAGGAAAAAAAACAGGAGGAAAGAGGTAATCAAGGCTAATATATCTAAGAGTACCAAAATACCACAAAATCAATCTCACATAAAACAATTTTTTTTTAAAATATGACGACCGGTTTTAGTTTAAGGTCATCATTAGGTCTATAAAGAGAAAAACAATGGTGTTATTTTGTATATATAAAAGTTAGTAGTATTACATACATAAAAAATAGAGTAATGGGTGGGGCAAAATATTAATCGATTTTAGAATGTCTGTAAAGGAGAAAAAATAGGGTTCTACAAATATTTATTATTTTGTTTAAGAAGCAATTAGTAATTATATTTGTTTTTTTCTCTGTAAATATCACGTTCGGTCAGGCGTACATATTTTTCATTCAATTCCAAGCCAGGTGATGTCCTCATTTTAAGAAATGATATTATTTTAAGATAATTCCTTTTGATAAAAGGCCTTTTCAGCGTACGCTCTCTGTTAAAGGGTCCACCGCTTTATTTTTTTAAATAATAAAACGTAGGATCGTTTTTCTCTGTATTTGAACGAAATACGGTTTACTTAATAAAGAAAAACATCGACATATTTGGCGTTAGTGAAACTTGATTAAACCCTCAAATTGATTCTACTAATATTTTTAATATTGGTACTTGTGTGTAACTCACATTTAATGGCTATTAAGACACTCGTATTTATTAAGACACTTGCCAACGCTCGTGTCATAATTCTCATACTCGTGTCTTAATAGCATCATTAATTGCTCGTTGCATAATATACTATCTGTATCTCTAACGTAAGTAGGGTGAGTTACCCCCATGGCACTTGTACATCCTCCTAAAATGATAGGCATCTCCTAGCTCGTGAGCCAGCCTACAGATTTTATATAGGTGACAACGTCGCCAAGAGGTGCTTCTCTTATATCGGCCGGTGTTAGCCGATACTCGCCGAACACAAATCTTCTAATAAATGAGAGCGTCGGGCAATCGTAAAGTATATGCTCGATGGTCTCATCTGCTTGTTTAGCACTCCTTCCTGTCGACATCCAAGCCTCTTATATTCACATCTTCTACACTTAAGTTTACTTCTTGCTTTGAGAGCATGTTATGTATCCACCCACTAACCATTTGTGGAACATTCCTATTGGTTAGTGAGTGTATTATTTTTGGGAAGGTGGTTTTATCAAAAGCACCTTCTATGTCTATGAAAACACCTAAGGCGGACTCCTTGTTGTCCAGGGATCTTTCTATCCGGCTAGCAACTAAATGAAGGGCCGAGTCAGTAGATCTGCCTCGGGTTTATGCTTGTTGGTTTGTGTGTGGTGGTATTGTTGGAATCACCGTAATCCTTATGTACCTTTCGCATTGCCTTTCCAATGTCTTCATGGAAAACGATGTCAGACTAATTGGTCGGTATGTTTTTGGGACAGTATAATCCATCCTTCCAGGTTTGGGTATAAATACCGCTTTTACCTCTCTGAATTTTTTGGGGATATACTTCAAAGCCAACGAGGATTGCATAATATACTATTTAAAAATTTGGTTTTTTTTTAAATGAATGACACATATTTAAATCAAATATTTTCATATTCCACTCACGTATTCCCATTGGAACTAAGCCAATGAAAACCCTTGAAATTGGATGCCATAAAGGTGAAATTCCTTCTTCTGCGGTTAAATCCATAAAAGATTAGGTTTTTAAAGTTTTATCATTTTTTTTTCTTAATCTATCCTATGCAACAATATAAAATATTCAAATCCAAGATTTAACAGCGTGTTCTAGTTATCAAATTAAGAAATGCAGTTTTAGAGATAATTATTACACGAACCTATCTTCTTATTTTCTCCAACACAAACACATGCCACTTTAACATATACGAGTATCAGTACATATTAGGCTAAACTGGAAATAAATTACATTTGAAATAATTATAAAAAAACACAAAATGTTTAGCCATATACAATATGTGTTATTCAGCAAACGAACATCAGAAAAGTGTTGCCAATTTAAGCTGTCTAATTTCTCCTATAGATACAATTCATGAAGTCTATTCTTCATAGTCGCAACCCTCATTTACAGTGTAAGTCTGCCTGTCTTTATGACATGCCTATCATAAATATTCTTTTTACTTTAAAGTTAGAACAACAACGCTTAAAGGAGATTGAGGAGGCGTGTGTTCAGACATAAATTACATTAAAAGGTGAGTTACATTTTTCATATATGCTATTATTCTATTTTATATATCACTTTTAAAATAAAAAAAAAATGAAAAAAAACCATTGATTTTTCCGGTTTAATAGCAACTATAAAACATACTTACATTGCCTACGTGATCACCTGTATATAAACAATCATTGTCGTGAGATACTCTCCAAAATTCTGTTTGCTTATCCTCTGCTATTACTCCTTTTTCTTTGAGAGTATCCAATTCAAAAGCTTTGACCGTTCCTTCATTGGAACACGAATAAATTGTGGAATCGCTACCAGCTAAACAGAATACTGAACATGGATTTGATTGAACTTCGGCAAGTTTTTTGAGATCTGGACCCCATACCTATAATTTGCATAAATGTATATTGTATATAATTATAGAAAAGAGTAAAGTATTTTCCATTACAACTAAACAGAACTAAATTGCAACATTTAACTTTCTAAAATAATTTGAGCACAGTTAAAATACTCTGCCATAAAAAAAATTTGATATCGTCATTATTTTCAAAATCAGTATAATTTTGTTACTATTTTTTTCGTCTTATTTATTAATGCGTTAAGAATGACGATATTCAAAGAGCGCTTATGACCATTCTACACATCTTGCCAGATTCGTTTATATTTTGTTATTTATTTTTTAAGAATGTTATTAGTAGTTAATAAAACATAAAAAATAAGCTTTTTGTACTGTAAACTCTTTTCTTGGACACTTAAGTGCCAGTATATTTTAGTATTCATATGAAAATTTCTAAATGACGTCAAAAAATGCGCAAATAGAAATATTGGGATAGGGTATCAAAAATTTTATAATGTAATAGGTATCTGGAAGGGATGTTTTTGTTTTTTGAAAGAATTTTGAAATTGAATTATTGTATACATTGCACAGCAGCATTTCTGATAATTGCTTTATATTAAATGACACTAGCTTAATTTTTAATGAAGATTTCAAATCTGTAATCTAAATTTCTGTATTAGCTCTAGTTTAGAAAATATGACACATGGCTGTTTCATAGTAAAACACAATTTGTTTAAAGTTAATCATATTTTATTTAGATCTTAAGGTGAACAAAACTTTCTTTAATAAGACTTCCTGGCAGAGGTTGAACCCATAGAACTGTTCTGAATGCTCCAACAATAGTCAGCCATCATGTGTGCGTTCCAGTAGCCTTGATATCGTTCCTCCATCCTACGAAGGTCCTGGTGGAATCGCTCGCCCTGTTCTTCACTTAGATCCCCAAGATTAGCGGGAAAATAATCTAGGTGGTTGTGAAAATAGCGCAATCTGATGCTTATGTTACATCCAAGGGTTTAAAAATGACTCATTAGTTGTTCAAGATGTTGAAAATAGTTAAACTTTTCTTATTTATCAAAAAATTTTGAACAAGCCAAACAAACCCATTCCATGCGTTTTTCTCAATTTCTGTCATAGTGTCCATAAATTTTGTGTCTTTTATTAATGATCTTATCGAAAATGCCCGTTTTTTTTTCTACATTCAGTTTCGAAATTATTTTTGATAGAAATAGAAAACAATTTCCAGTTTTGTCAAGATCTTTGTCAAACTATTTTATAAGTCCTAATTTGTAATGCAACGGAGTCAAACTTATACGATCTCTTGACACTAAAGGTGGGTTTATCACGTTTTGTTGTCCTGGATTTACATCTTTCCGAGTAGGCCAATCTTTTTTAACCCAATGTTGATTTTTAGCTCTACTATCCTACAAGCAAAGAAAACAAGAATACTTTGTGTAACCACCTTACTGTCCTAATAGAAAGTTGACAATTTTTAAATCAACACATATGATCTAGTTATTTTCCACATATTTAATTTTGTCCAAAACCAGAGCAATAGTTGTATATTCTTCTTTAACTTTTGTAAAATGTGCAATAGGCAACGACCCTATTTATTCCCATTGTGTAAGAGAACACATTTTAGACTCCGTTTTGACGAGTCTATGAATAAACACCACTCACCAGAAACATAATTTTGTAATCCCATTGCAGCCATCAATCCAGGTACATCTTTACAAAATACGAAATTGTTTTCTTCAGCAAAATATTTGAGGAAATTCTATTCTCTTGTGCGGTAATAAGAAATATTAGTTTCTTTCGTTACCAATTTTGTTTCTTTTAGCCTTGAAGCTAAAATTTCTGAAGCTGACTTTGACAGTCCCAGATCTCTAATTAAGTCGTTTAAATCATCTTGATTGAATGGTCTTGGCATTTTCAGGTCGCATTCAAAGTTACTATCACGACTGTCGTTTTTCGGCTCAAAATCTTCGGGCTTTTCCTGTAAAGTACCAGATTGAGGTTCAGGTATAGACTTAGAGCTCAGGACACGTCTATTATATGGAAGGATGTTCCCATTTGGCTCGATTTTTTCGGCTAATACCAGTTATGTTCACCAAACAAAAATAACAATCGTCATGGTGGTTCATGGGTTTATTCCAAATCATAGCGGTTTTGTACCTAATGCTATGTCTTTTCTTATTTGCCCATAAACGTAGGAACTAAACGCATGTTTTGCATACCTTTTGCGAAATCCAAGGCTTATTTTTTATTTACCAAATTTGTAAAACTGTTCAAATTTTAACCCCAAAATTGAATTTGTAAATTTGCTTAAAATAAATCTTGATTTATTTATCTTGTTTTTTTATTTATTTTATTTTATTTAATATCTTTATATGTAATAAATGTATTATTCTTGGAAAAAAATAGTGTTTTTAAGCTTTTTACCTACATTCCCCTAAACTTCATACCCTTATACCAAATCCAATCGGTTTAAAATTTAAACCATTATAAAGTTTATTGCACACCATATCGGTTAGTATTTCATTATTTTTGTATAATTAGTTATGATTTTATCTTTAATAAGATACGCCCAAAGTAATTTAGTAATTTTTGTAAGCCTCATTTACGAACGTTGTCACATTTAAACGGTATTCTTTAAATACATACTCTCTGCAAATAAAACAAAACTTGTTTGAATCATTCACACATACTCTTGTTGACAATGTCATATCAAATTTTAAAATAAAACAATAATTCAAACAATAAAGATAATTTCACTATTGTCTTACTAAACCTTCCCCTAAAATGACAAACGATAATTTCTTAAGAATTCTGAAATTGGGTTTTACCGGTTATTAAAGAGAGGTACTTTTACTTTTATAAGTATGATCTAAGAAACTAAAGGGGTGTCCGCTGTCGTACAACAGAGAGGCCGTTAAAGGAGATTATAAATTAATGGTATTTACAAATTAAATTAAATATGTATAATAATTCAATAATTATTATTAAATAAACTGCAAATAAACACTATAATACAGCGAATTTTTAGTGAAAGCTATAACTTGTAAACAAGAGCTGTCAGAAAAAAAGTGGGGGTATATTTAGAATCAGCGACTTAAAATTAATAATCATCATGTGACATAAGTCATTCATCAGTCAAAAAGTTTTTGATATTTGATGAGATAGACAATTTAAATAAAAAAAATCGAAAAAAGGAAAAGATAGTTTAATGTCTAAAATATAAAGATCGAGCAGAGCAGCAGATACAAACACGTTGTAAGAGAATAGAAGATTAGCAAGTGAAAGGCAGAGACAAGCAGATAATTAGCAAATGATAGGGCAGAGACAAGCAGAGACATTAGAGGACAGCAGACAAGAAGTAATAAGCATACACGTAGAGAAAAGAGAAAAGACAATAGAGATAGGCAGAGGTGAATTCAGATAAAGAAAAAGGAAGAAAACAAAGCACAATTTTTTTACTTTTGTTTTTTATTGTATGAAATATTTTGGATCTGTTGGACCCACCCCAATATTGAGGTGGTTGTTGATTGGAACCAGAGACTGCAAAAGAACGTTTTCATATCAGTCTATTTTATTTTGTATGGATAATATAAAAGAATTAGGACTCTTATAGGCACTGTCCCAAAAACATACCGACCAATTAGTCTGACATCGTTTTCCATAAAGACATTGAAAAGGCTATGCGAAAGGTACATAAGGGATACGGTGATTACAACAACACCATTACACTCAAACCAACATGCATACACCCCAGGAAGATCTACTGATTCAGCCCTTCATCCACTTGCTGGCCGGATAGAAATATCCCTGGACAATAAGGAGTCCGCCTTGGGTGTTTTTATAGACATAGAAGGTGCTTTTGATAAAACCACCTTCCCAAAGATAATACACTTGCTAACCAACAGGAATGTTCCACAAATGGTTAGTGGGTGGATACATAACATGCTCTCAAATCGAGCAGTAAACATAAGTGTAAAAGATGTGAATATAAGAGGCTTGGTTGCGAAGAGATGTCCACAGGGAGGGGTGCTATCACCTCTTCTGTGGAATATGGTCCTCGACGCCCTCATCAGCCGCCTGAATAATGACAATCACTACACAATAGCATATGCAGAGGACCTGGTCATTCAATCCTAAGAAGACAGAAGTGGTCTTTTTCACAAGGAAAAGAAAAAAAATGGAATAAAAACCTCCAGAACTTCTAAACACAAAACTAAACTTGGCAACAGAGGTAAAGTACCTAGGTCTCACCTTTTACAGCAAGTTAACATGGAACTCGCATTTAAAAAATAGAGTTAAAAGATTATACGTTGCTTATGAACAATGCCGCCGAACCGTGAGGCGGACCTGGGGTTTCTCCCCCAGAGTCGTCGCATGGACTAACACGGCTATCAAAAGACCTATGCTAACATACGGTGCAGTTGTCTGGGCACTAAAAACCCAAAAATTAACAGCTATCCGTAAACTAGAAGAAATTAAAAGAACAACATGTCTCAACATAACAGAAGCCATGAAAACAACACCGACCAGGGCCATGGAAGTTATTCTCAGTCTGACTCCCCTTGATATTTACATCAAGGAGGTTGCTATGATGACAATGACACGCCTCCGCACGGTTGGAATGGAACCTAATGTAGGATATGGTGAGGCGAGACGTCGCTTTTGGCAGGAGGCGCTCAATACGATCCCATTGCTTTAAGCTAACATAGACTCTATTTCACCGAGATATATCTTCCATAAGCCATATAAAGTTAAAATAGAATAAATAGAAGAGCTGCAAGTGGCAGGTACGATTCATATCTATACCGACGGTTCTAAAACAAAACAAGGCTCAGGATGTGAAATATACTCCAGATTCTTAAACCTAAATATAAAATGGGCTGTGAGCAATAGTGCCAATGTAGTTTAAACAGAGCTAACGTGTATTCTCATAGCAGCAAAATAAATAACCAGAAACAATATCACTGGAAGGAAAGTGCTCATCTATACAAATAGCAGACAAGCACTACTCACCCTGAACAGACCACGAATTC